TCAAACTTCCAGCCAGCAGAGCCCTCCACAGAGCAGCTCAGTGTCACACTGCCCCCTGCTGGTATGACTGAACTCTGTGCTGTCAGTGTGGCTCTGGCTTTACCTGCTGTTGAGTTAAAAGAAATAAAATGAATGTTGCAGAATATCTCATCCAAATTAAAACACGACTCAAACTGGAGTCATGAGATTACAACACATGGATGTATATGGAGGCTATAGTTTCACATATTAACCTAAAAATTTTCATTTAAGTTTCAGAGACTTTTAAACGTGAGTTTGTGAGATAATCACTACAAAGAAAAATATGATAACTGTCTGTGTTTGTGGTTGTTCTCATATTCTCAGCAGTGGCTTCTTTGGAATCTGCTGAGACAACCAGATGAATTCACAAAAAGAAAACTGATCTGCATGAAGGCAACAAACTACAAAACAAGAGAATTAGCCTCATGGGTGAGTTTAACAACATGTATGTAATATCCCAATGTTACACACATAATTAAGTATATAAAACTGTATAATCGTATCAAATATAAGAAAAAAAAAGGAGCTGCGAAAAAGTAAGTACTAAACACATCACACAAATGGAAAACAAAGAAAAGAATTTCTCACCTTCAGCATTTCCTGAGAAGAATGTGCTGAACACTAGAATAAAGATTAATATCCACACTTTATCAATCATAAACAGATTTTTCAGATGCCCCATCAACATATTTGTACCCATATATTATGTGATAATAAACAGGCTCAAAACATCACAAAAACATAATTGACTTTTTGTAATTTGTAAAATAATGAAGAAGTAAAAGAAACTCAACTCAAAGTAACTTTAAAAAAAATGTTTAAATCAATAACAACAAAACAAAAAAAACCCAACTGGATCTAATCAAACTCTCAAAGTAACAGAAAGATTTTTTTTTCTCAGTTAGTGGCACACAAACAGAGAAAATCAGTGTACTTACAGAATAATGCCAGCAAAGTATTCCCCATCATCACAGTCCTGCAGCTCTCTCATCCACAGATAATCTCAAAATGTTCTACTTTGAAGAAAGAGAAATCACAGTTAATGTAAATTAAATTTGAGATCCCACTCCACTCTCACCTGCTAGCATGTCCTTGATGTAAAGTGAACAGTGTACCAAGGGTCCTGGAGTTATTGTCATGATCATGGGTCTGTGAACCAGTGTTTTGGTTTTTAAAATATTGGAGTAAATGGAACTGGAAAATGGATTATTAATGAAACATTTTGAAGCCTGCTCATTAAATTCTGTACATTAAGCATTTTGGGTGCTCAAGTCTAGCAGAGATGGCTGTACAACAATCAGTCCACATTACATGTCATAATGACTCAGGCTACAAGTCAAATGTAAATGGTAAATGCATTGGTTTTTATAAAACTCTGCTCTATTCTACCTGAGGACTCAAAACACTTTATACAGCAAGTCTCAATTATTCAGACACAGTTGCAAATGACCAAGGAAGGTATGAAGTACATACCAGATGCCAGAAATGATTGAGCTAGGCGGCAGATCTAAATCTGTTAATAATGTTTCTTAAAATGTTTTCCTTGACTGTTTTCATGTTGGCTTGAAATAAAATGTCTCCCTCTGCTGGCATTGCAGTTTACTGCAACCTATTACATCCATAAAACGTGTGACATCCACATGTAGAACTGTGTGTCTACTACATCCTTAGTTGTGTAACTGTGTTGCAAAGTGTTTTCAGTCTAACATTGACACAACGATGAAAGCATCAGGAGCAACTCTGGACCAGTATCTTGCCCAAGGATACTGGAACATGAAGCCTGGAGCAGCCAGGGATTGAACCAGCAACCTTGTATTAGTAGCTGACCCGCTCTAGATGACAGAAGCAAAAGGAACAGTGTGTCATTTATAACCCCTGTGACAAGACTGAGGTCACTATCTGTTTTTCAGCAGTGAAGTGAACTTTGATGGCATCATTTTAAAAGGACGGCTCTAATTAGCAGTACTAAAACTCATAATGTAGCCTGCTTTCTAATTACTGTAGAGTCTGTTTCAGCTGACTTTTAGTTGGCGGTTGATCTGATTTCCAGCTTTTTAACATCACACTGTCAGATGTGCAGTCTGATCTTGCAGCTCAGCCTCAGCACAGAGCTATAAATAATCTTACTCTGTGGTTCTGAGCTTTGTCGTGAACACAGGCACAGGAAAAAACTACCTGTGATGGTTAAACTGCGAGGGATTTCTTTGTTTCACAAACTAGATGTTAGTAGTTAGCAGGAAGTTAGCTCGCTAGCTTCCACCAAAACATGATATCTAGACTTTAAGTGAAGACGTGATGAATCTTGCTTTCAGGCCCAAACTATTCTCCGTTTACTAAGGCTGTTGTGTTTTTAACTTGTTTTAATACTTTGTGATCACTGTCAGCCTGTCTCGGCAATGATGATTTGGCTTTGGGATCTGCAGTGGAGTTTGGATCCAGACATGGCTAATGACGTCAGACTTAAGACCGGATGCCATGTTCTGACTGAGAGATTTCTGAAAAAACTAAAACATACAGCTCTGTTATCACTTCCAACATAAATTAAGACAGAAAACTAAACAGCAGTGATGTTGGTAGGGTTACTGAAGATGGGCTAGCTGGTATATATTGATGTCCTATGTGATTGCTAGCAAAACAGCTACGTAAGCATAACATAAACACTAAAGCTCAAGGATGAATTCTAACTTTTTTCCACTCTATAAAAGTTAACTTGAGGGTTCCCAGTGGTTAGGGACAAATGCAGTCGCATGGCAGGATGCTGTAAAC